GATGCTTTTCGAAATCTCCAGAACCTTTTTTGGGGGTTCAGTAAAGAGCCGATTTTTTTTAGAGTGTACGAGATGATGAAACACAGATTGAAGTCGTAGGTGCTGAAATTCCAACAAGCCCAATTAAAACGAAAGCTACGAGAGTCCTATCTGTAACTGCAACCAATTTGGTTTTATTTTCCACAAAACAGAATATCGTCAAACAATTTACACTAAATACTCAGCAAAAATATGCTTTCATGATTATAACTAGTCACTTAGATGGCAAAAATCATGCTCATACCGGTATATTTTCTTGATTTTGTTATTGAAAATTTTGAATAGTCTTGATATTTAGATACTATCGATAATCAGTTATTAATGTGCATACCTGGTTGCGATGGTACTGGAAAATCTCAGTTAATTCGTGCAATTACCAAGTATTTCCAAGTAACCAAGAGGGGCAAGATGTTGCGTAAACTGGCGCCAACGTCTATAGCAGCAGCTGAGATTAACGGATTAACTATCCATTCATTTTTAGGTGAAAGTCGCAAAAGCACTAAAAAGAAAAATACCCGTACATTTAGACCTGGCGATATGAAATTAGAAAATGAATGCCGTCATGTGAAGTACTTGATAATCGATGAGACGAGCATGGTAGGACTTAGTCTCTTAGCTCGTCTGAATCGAATAGTGAAAACAGCCAAGCACGTAAATTCTGAGATACCTTTTGGTGGTGTCAATGTCATTTTCTTCGGCGACTACCTTCAATATTCTCCTGTTTTGGACAAGCCTCTCTACTATAGATGCTCATCGACACAGCAAATTACAGAACGTCAGATAGATATAATGTGTGCACAGAAGGTCATGTCTGAAGTAAACTGCGTTGTTGAATTAACTCAGCAAATGCGGACTGAAGACGTAAGATATTTGGAAGTTTTAAATAGATTAAGAAATGGATACTCGACAATAGAAGATTACCAACTTTTGTGTACGAGAGTCATAGGAAATCCAACACTTCAAGTATCTCTACAACAAAAGCCATGAAACGAAGTATGCATACTCATTTTCTCTGTGTATCACATTACTTTTCTTTCAATAGGCTCCAATACTTGTTTTTCGGAATACCCAAAGCACTCAAATTAACAATAGGGCTGTCTTAAACAAAACAATGGAAATGGGACTCATCCCAATTGTTTGTATTGCTCAAGATTATATTCAAGGAAAACTAGTGGATGATTCACGATTACGTAAAGCCATACTTGAACTACCCGACAATAAAACCGAACATCTTCCAGGGTATCTGCCTCTTGTACCAGGAATGCCAGTTTTACTCACAGAAAACATCGCTACCGAACTGGGACTCTCTAACGGTACGCGAGGCATCTTTCGTCAACTTGTATATGATGAACCAACAGAAGATGATCGATACCACGATCAGAATTTTCCACCAAATACCAAGTTTATAATGCAACCTAAGTACGCTTTAGTAGAATTTCCTGGTTGCAAAATTGATGAAAAACTTGCTGAACTGTCTTCCAAAATAGTCCCTATAGCTATTAGTGAGCAAACGTTTTTGTTCGACGCCAAAGAACTTCTTCCTGAAAATGTAGCGAAAGCAGCCAAAATAAACAAGAAAACAACAAAACTCACCGTCAAACGTAAAGCACTTCCGCTTATACCTGCATACAGCATGACAACACATAAAAGCCAAGGCCAAACGCTCGGTAAAATTATCGTCGATCTGATGATGCCGCCTGGGCCAATCGAGCTCGCATCGGTTTATGTTCCATTATCTCGTGTAAAGAGACTTGACGATTTACTAATCATACGTTCATTCGACTTTGCAACACTTCAAGTTAAACCATCAACGGCCCAAATAGAAGAACTTAAAAGATTAGATAAAGTCGCACAAAGTACTCGGAAACATTTTCAATTTATTGTTTAAAACAACAACATCACAAGAGTGCCGTGATCCTCAGACAAACCATCTAACTCATAAAGAAACTACATTGCATGCTTGAAATCTGTTCGTTATACAATTATAGCCATTAAATCATTTGTAGAACTTCTAGGAAATTCTATTTGAAATAAAAACCATAAAGATAAAAAAAATTAAAAGAATTTGAAGTATGCAAAACCCAATATATTCATAGAAAATCACTAGTGCTTGCGCATTCAATCCGAATTCCAAGCAGTACTTCACACCTATGCACGACAAGAGAAACTTATATGACGCACGCCATAAAAGAAAATTTTCTTAAGTGACGATTTCAGAGAAGATCAGCAATGTCAGCCAAATATTCTTACCAACATCTACTCAAACAACACTTGCAAGTGTACCTTCATGTGGTCTCATAGTAACAAACTAACAAACTACATCGAGAACCAAAGGCAGCCAAACCACATTCATCTCATCAAACCAACTTCCATAAACAGCTAATAGACAAGCACTTGCTCTCGTATACCACTAAGGCTTATAGAAAATCCCAAGAATATTGCTCCAATAGGTTTTTCAACCCTACTCATCTCTCAGTTTTTATTTCGAAACACGTACAGAGTGCGTATACGTGGGAGCACGACTATTGTGTGTAAGACAATTGTGTGCAGACGATTGTGTGCAGATAATTGTGTGTACGGACAATTGTGTGCAAGGCAATTGTGTGTATGGACAATTGTGTGTATGGATAATTGTGTGCAAGACAATTGTGTGCAGATCATTGTGTGCAAAATCAATGAGGTGTTATGTTTAAATAAAGACTTTTGTCAACAAGTGAAAGCCAATAAACAAAAAAAGTAAACAAAATAGCAGAACTAACTCAAGATGAACAAATCAATGAACAGTTATAACATGAATGTATGAGCAATCGCTTTTAATTTTTGTATGTTATCATTTGTAGGATTTTCTAAAATCTGTAAACTCTGGATGCTGTTTGCTGAGTTTTCATTCTCTTTGGTTTCGGTACGAGACCTGTTACTAGTTGAGAAATATCACCGTCTACGAATGATTTCTCTATTTAAAAGTCGTCCAAAAACGCCAAAATCCAGGTGAGCTGAATCGAGGATATTGTTAAGTCGTCGATGTTATTCTTCGACACCCTTATTCGTATGGTCGAACTGGTTCCTTAACAAATGGTGTAAATTCCAAAATATGATTGGAAACATTGGCATTGTCTTTCTGTTGCAACTTTGAAATCTACCTCTGTAGGAATCCTCAAAATAATTATAAAGTGGATCAAAATCTGAAATGTGTAGATTACCAATATCTTCAAAATGCTGAATAGATATCATTTGTTTCCAAAAAAGCTAGTGCACGAAGCATTCCTATTGCATGTGCATATTCTTCGTCGCTCCCATATTTAGTTGTAAAACCTGATTTTTGAACTTGTTGATAGATGTTTTGTATCAGGTGAAAGAAACAAGCACGGATAACGTCTTCTTATTCTCACTCGTTTAAATACTTTCAAGGAAAATTGACCAATTTCATGCTCTCTTTCTTTCGTTTTAATCAGTGAAAATGAAACTAATCGATGTGCCCATGACCATCTATTTTCATAATTATCTTGCACACAATTGTCTTACACACAATAGTCATAGACCCCGTATACGTGCAGGATCAAGAGTAGTTCTTGGTGTGAATGTACATAAAAATACATTTCATCTAATTCGAAATCCAAAAATACGCTTACACTTCAACCCACCCAAACGAGGTGAGTACCCATACGCGCACATCTTTACAACTACTCACATCCACAGCCGTATCAACGCCCATACTTGCACACAAAGTGCAATTCCATTCCATCCAGTCCACACCCACCCCACGTACGTGCACACTAACCTGAAAAATTTAGAATGTTGCAACACACAATTCATAAAGTCTCACTATTGCACAGCCAATTGCGGAAACCTATAATCGGTTCAGACAACCACTCTCAACATATAATTGGCCTATACTCAAACCATGAAAACCTATGATTGGTCCAAATGGCCACCCTCCAAATCTGATTGGTGCATAGCCCAACCATGAAAACCTA